ACGTTTCAACAATCTACATCGTCATCATCAGGTGAACATTTTTTTACCTGATGATGACAATGTAGATTGTTGAAACGTTGTGTGTAATAAAACTAAGGAGTAGTATACCATAAAAATATGTTCTGTTATCTAAAGAGCCCTTCAACAACAAAAAGAAAACGAAACAAAAAAATGAACCATCTAGATCTGCCTATTGTTAGATTGTAAACTTACAAGTGTAACATAGAAGATATATATAATTGTAAGGCACAGTTTAACACAAAGCACTGATATTTTGTCCTGTAGAACACTGGCACTTGAAAACTCGGTAATTTGACTCTTAAAGACTTGACATTGAAATCTACTTAGAGAAGTCAAATTAAAAGTTGATTGGCCTGTTTTGACTTGACTTACATAACATAATAAAAAAAACTAATAGAGTATGACTTTATAATGATGATAATTTTATTTTATAAGTTACACTAGCAATACAAAAATACAATTATAATTACAAATAATGACAAAAGATTACAATACGTTTTTTCATTAAACTAATCAGTAATAATGTTCACAGCTTACTGTCGAAATTTGAGCCTTCAAATCCATGTGTGTCCAGAACTATCTATGCCCAACCTGTCCCTTCTAGATTTATAAATTTACCCAGACTGTTGCCAGAGTTAAACATTTTCGTCTTCTCACACAGTGTGAACTTTATTAATGCAATTAGATGCAATGCCGTAAAGAATGATGCAGGCCACTGAACCACTACCAACTGTCAACCTCTACTCTTATAATAAGCTTTGATTATTAAAACTTTGCTCTCTTTCTCCTTCTCTAGATCTTAATTGATTTCTTTATCAATCATTTCAGACGATGAAGGTCATAAAGCGGAAATGGGCGCCAATTGGATCCATGGAATTGAACGAAATCCAATTTACCAAATAGCAGATCAGAATCATTTGTTAGAGCTGCGTCATGCCAACAGAAATTTGCGGCGTCGGGATTTACACTTGACCGAAGATGGCGATGTCATCAGTGATAAAATGGTGAACGAAGTTGATTTCTCTTACGGCATGTTAATAGCAGAGTGTGAAGATTTTTTTCATTCGAGTATCCCCACCCCCGAAGAGGATGACAGTGTGGGGGCACATCTTGAACGAGAATTTCAAGAAAAATTGGATAGATACAATAATGGCGACCGGCGATCCCGCCAGATGATTTTTGATCAAAGGATATTATTAGAGTGTTGTATCACAGGATGTGACAACATGAATGATGTGTCTCTAGAAGAGTTCGGATGTTACGAAGAATTACCCGGCGTCCATTATACAATTCCACCCGGATTTGAAGCCGTTTTGGAAATCCTTAAAAAAAATATTCCCGAGGAAAACATCCTACTGAACAAACCTGTTAAATGTGTGAATTGGGCCAATTCAGATAATAATAAAAGTGCACAAGAAGTTTGTGTTGAATGTGAGAATGGTGAAAAGTTCTATGCAAATCACGTATTATGCACTGTTTCCCTTGGAGTACTGAAAGCAGCTTGTGATCGAATGTTTCTCCCTCCCCTTCCCAAGGACAAGCAACAGGCCATCCAATCAATGGGCTTTGGTATAGTTGATAAAGTGATACTGGAATTTGAAGAGACCATCGTGGAATCGGATGTTTTCAGAATCGAACTATTATGGGATAGAAGTCAAGTGATAGATAATGATCTACGGAAAACGTGGATGCGTAAAATTTATTCGTTTGAAGTGGTTCATGAAAACATACTAGTCGGTAAGAGAGTTTATATTTTTATATTTTTTGATTATCTATTTACTTCCCCATTTCGTCAGTCACAGTTTCTCTTTACTCTCCTTTACTTAAAAGTGAACTTTTCCGCACATGCATCTCTTGAAGGAGGCAAGTTAAACTTAAATCGAGTTTCTGTAAATATTTTCTCCAAATTCTCTCTGGTAAATGTTCGATAAGCTGATAAAATTTGTAGGACCATTTCACTCAGGTCATGCCCTCTTTTACATTTATAAGACTCAATGCAGTCTTGTAAGATTGATAAGACCATATTTCACTTAATCCAATTAGCTTCATAAGAGGCAGTGATAACTCCACATCTCCAAGGACCTGATTTGGATAGAAGGCTGATGACAGCATCTTTATTTCAGGATTATATCGATTGATAAATTTCAGTGCTGATAGCTGAACCTTCGAACTTTTTACGTTGCATGCTTTTCGGTCAGCTTGTTCCAGAGTGCAGATATTGCATAGAAATGGATTACTCTATATAGCTCTAAGACTCAATTTAGGGTCAACAATTTATTACTTACTCTGTGGGAGTACCGATACTGTACTGGGAGTATATTGGGATGTGGTTTGAATCCTAAATCCTGAAATATGGGATTCAACTCTGCTGATGGTATTTAAGGTAAAAATCTGATATTTTGGGATGATCATGAACTGGTTTATTGAACAATAATCACTTTATAAAGTTTGATGTTTTTCTCCTGTATTAATGTTTAATTGTTAATTGTTCAGGCATATATATAACTTAATCAGACAAGTAGAGTGGCCGCCGGTTCTGAAAGTGACCTTGACCTACGGTGTGTGTTTCAGGATGGTTGTCTGGAAAGGAAGCATTATTCATGGAATCATTAACAGAGGAGCAAATAGCAGAAGATAGTCGAGATACCTTACGCAAATTCCTTAAAAACAATGACATTCCTCTTCCTAAAAGAGTTATCAGGTAAGATTCTTGATCAATTTTGAAAATTCAGATTTTTTTCGAATTTGAGCAGTGAGTTCGTAACGGGGTTGTCATTTTTTGAAAAGCTTATTTTAAATTCTCAGTCAATTATCATTTGGATTAGCTACAAGAGAAATATTGCTTAAGTACCCAATCTATATTACTCGCACTGATCCAAAAATAAGCAACTTGTTGTGACCTTTTGAGTCTTGCCCTAACTTGAAGATATCACATCTTTATAGCACTTCCTAGAAGCAGGTTTGGTCAGAATTTTGGTCTGTTACTTAAAGATCTATTCTGAAGCTTCCTTAACCTTTATTCAGCATTAAAAAACCCTCAAACAAGGCCCAGTTCTTACTTAAATGGCATTCTGGTTCTGGAAAAGTTCAAAATCCCCCCAAATTAGAGCACTGAGCAAAAAAACTGTCAAAATTTAGTCTCAATGAGGGAATGAGTCAGCAAGATTGGGACAAACAATGTACTGTACTTACTCACTTATGATTGATATACTTCCTCATATGAAAAGTTCATTAGCTCCTACCAATATTTCGCAATATTTTTTTTGAATTCCGGTTTTATTTTGCAGTTTGTGTCGTTAGTAAGCTTACTTGGTATATTTGTATTAACCTTATTTTTTTCAATCACTATATTGTCCCCATGGGCTGAATGTTAGACAGGACCATGTTCTTGTGTATTGGACCTAATTCTGACCCATGTAAAATAAAGAGTTTATTATTATAATTATTAAGCTTACATAATATAAACAATGAAAGTATTTTATAAAATCAATAGTACTGGTATAGTTCTCCCTGATTCTACTCTATGACAGTCGTTAGCATTTCAATATATTGATATTCATATATAGATATTAAATTCATTATATATTCAGAATTATTGTACTGAATGCCCCTTTTTTTATCAAAATACGTCAACTGTGGAGTATTAAAATTTATAGTGGAATTTTCTAAACTTTTCTACTTTCATTGTTGAAGAGTTGTTATAAGTTTTCTCAATGTTATTTTGTACAACAGCTCTGAATTTTAAAAGAAAATGAATATACTGAATAGAAACTGTGACAGTAAAGAAATATTTACATGGTTTTATAATTTAAGATAATTATACTGTGGTATATAAAATATTTGTTGTTAAATGGATTACGTCTGCAAATACTTTCATAGTTCTAAATTTATCATGTGGAAGCTTATTATAAGGCATCCAAAATATATCAGTCCCTGTTCACCTAGATGGAATAATGATAGAAGTCAAGAAAATCAAAAATATAGAAAAAGTAATGTTGGAATTCAACTTTTATTAAATTTACGTAATATAAATTCATTTTTTTGAAAATAAACAATATTTTATTCAGTACCGGTAATTGAAACAGGTTTGAAAACTTGGCTAATCATAGCCATGTGTACCCCTCCCAGAACTTAATATAGATTGAGAGATGTTGATTGAAGATTCTGTACTGTACTGATTCAACTGAATGATTTCTAAACAGAGTCAATAATCTTTCTGTCTCAAACTTCATTGAAATCTCTAAGTTCATTATGACCTATATTTTACTCTAGAATGATCAATATGTTGGCTAGTCAGTCAATTGTTTACCTAACATACATACGGGTCCTCATAACTCAATATCTAGATCTCTACTACCGTAAACACTGGCCGAGTAGAAAACATACGGGTCTTCATAACTCAATATATAGATCTCTACCGTAAACACTGGCCGAGTAGAATACATACTGGGTCTTCATAACTCAATATATAGATCTCTACTACCGTAAACACTGGCCGAGTAGAATACATACTGGGTCTTCATAACTCAATATCTAGATCTCTACCGTAAACACTAGCCGAGTAGAATATTCTAGTTAGTTTGTAAGATTGGTGATTAAGGAAGTCAACATAATAAGCTTACTCTCTGACCTACTGGGATGGTCACATTGATAAGAAATATCTCGAGTGAAAAGGATACTAAATAAGCTTATGGCTAATTAACCTTTTTATGTGCCAAATTCAAGGACAGAAAAAAAAAATGAGAACACAATGGTGTAGTCAAACAAATTAAACAACATTGGAGATCTAAGACTCAAGCTTTCCACCCTGACAGTGAGGTCATTGCATCAATACTCTTTCGTGGTCTCATGACAAATATTTTCACTGGTAATTTAGTACTTAATGCATTGTAGGGGTACAGTTATCTAAATATTTGATATTCTTATGTAGACAATTAGCTTTAACATTTCCTTGTCAACACCAAACCTGTATTTTCTAAGATTTTTCATTGAGAATAATGACACATACTCTGTGACCTGTCGTTCTAGAGGGATGGTCAAGTTAGACTAGTTATTTGACCTACTGTGGTTCAACTTTGATTGCTTAGAACACAATAGGAGTGGTCAGTATGAGTTAATGCCCTTGACCTAAATATGCTTAGAATTCTGGGTTGTTTTATGATAAAGAATACTTTTGCCACCACACAAAAGTCAATTTACAACTTTTCTGTTGATATAAGCTTATTATTGCTACCGGTATATCTATTTTCTTAACATTATGGCTTATAGTTTACAGACCACTGATGGGAATTTTGATTGGCTGTATTTCTTAACGTACAATTCAATCAAATACCAGCCGAAACAAACTTCTGTTATATACAAGATGAAGGCCATTGAAGTCAAGGAATAAGACAGTTTGTAATAGCTTAACATTGTGATGATGGGTTTTGTTATACCAGCATCAGTTAATTTGTTCCTGATAGAATTTTGTTTTTCACTGCACAATTTTCAATACAATAAATGACATTGCCACAAATTTATATAAAAATTTAACTCAATTTAAATCCAATTGAAAGCAATTCATTTCAATCAGAATGTTTTTTGGTCTGTAAATGGTTCAAGTGTGTTCTACATTAGGATATTACAGTAACGCAGCCCTCATTACGTAAAGTAATTGCCAATATCAATTTGTGTCATTTGGTTCTAAAGCCCTGTGGTATTTAACTAATGGCCTATAAAAATAGTTTCTATTGATGACTATACTATAGAGTGTATCAATCAGTACTAAGTGTTAGGTAAGATTGGATATTGGGTCATAAATACCTCGATTGGTCAGTGAATTCAAACATGGATACTTATCATTTTGTTACAAAATTTGATGCCTTAGTCGATAGGGTTTTAAAATTAACAAAGGTCCCACTTTCGGACGTACTTGCTGTGTTTTTGAAAAGGATTACAACTTATAGCGCCTTAAGACTGCTTGGCTGATAGGGGTTTAACACTGACATGGCAACTGACTCTCTAAAAGACTCAAAATTATTTTTTCTCCCTTGAGGATTCGAATCATTGATGCCTTACAATGCAACTCAATACTGACTGAACTAGTCTATCCTATTGTCACACAAGATTATAAAGACAATATCGTATTGCAAAGTTCTTTTGTAGTTTCTTTTACATGAAATTTGTAATTGAAAATTATATATATATATATATATAAGTAATACGCACTTCAGATGAAAGTGAAAGTTAAATTGTAAAAAAAACAAAATGATATTACTTATAGGTAGACAGTTTTAAAAACCTATATCTACAGCAAGCTATATACAAGATCTTAGATAGATTTCAAATGATTTCACTTGTGAGTTGTCAGTAGACTGCCAGCAAGCTATATACAAAATCTTAGATAGATTTCAAATGATTTCACTTGTTAGTTGACGGTAGACTGCCAGCAAGCTATATACAAAATCTTAGATAGATTTCAAATGATTTCACTTGTTAGTTGACGGTAGACTGCCAGCAAGCTATATACAAAATCTTAGATAGATTTCAAATGATTTCACTTGTGAGTTGTCAGTAGACTGCCAGCAAGTTATATACAAAATCTTAGATAGATTTCAAATGATTTCACTTGTTAGTTGTTGGTAGACTGCCAGCAAGTTATATACAAAATCTTAGATAGATTTCAAATGATTTCACTTGTGAGTTGTCAGTAGACTGCCAGCAAGCTATATACAAAATCTTAGATAGATTTCAAATGATTTCACTTGTTAGTTGTCAGTAGACTGCTTTGAATTGAGTTGTAAAAACTAGAATTGCCTGAAGTCAAAATCTAATTGAACAGTTAAAAATGAAGGAAGCTAGTAATAAGAGACCTACTGGCAGATTGCCTTAGTTTTTTTCAATGATATTTCTTGGCTTGTAAGATTATACTGCTAGTAGGGGATTTCTAGTTGATTTAAGTCTTTGAACACTGAAACAAGATTCTTTTCTTCTCTAATTAGTATGAAGTTAATATTTTTCAACCAAGGTTTAAAATATTGCTGTGTATTCTGGAAGGATGTTAGTGCCAGGATTACCCAGGTTCTTACACCTGCTTACACTGTTTCCACT